CGATACGTCGTTGATCAGAAGGGCTGAATCATCTATAATTATCAGAGGGACATTTTCCCTTGGCGGCACTCATATGGGTTGTAGTTATCCAATAAGAAATTTTAATAAAGCAATTTATGCTCCGGACTGGTCAGATCAATATTGACCGGTTTGTGCCAACCCTAATTATCGTAACACATTATATCCGGGTGTTTTTACATCAAGATTTACAAAAAACAAAAGTATATTATATACCAATACAGTAGTAATACTATTTTCGGAACGAACCTTCGATCCACTATATCAATTTTTAAATGCATTTGGCCAACTAAGCTTATTAGTTTATTAAATTTCACAATAAAATGGGTAATCGGATGATCGAAAATAAATATCCATTTATAAATTCGATTAAAGAAACATAAAATATGTTGTCAATCCGGATATTCAGACAGATATCTTGATACATGCACTAAATGAAATCCGTTGTAACAAAGTTTATTTATAATGTTATGGTCGAACCCAATTAGACGAATCTTTTGGCCATATGTAAAATTTAATTGCATCTGAAAGGTCCAATGTACTTTCTGTCTGCATTATATGCTTATCTAAGTCAGGAATATCAGGCTGAAAGTCACGAACTATTTTGAGTTGGATATAAGACGGGCCTTGTTAAAGGGTTGAAAATAAACAAATCGCATTAATGAAAGACAAATAATATGTAATCATGTAATCCATATCGAGGATATAAAATATTTACCTGTCCAAGCGCTTAGAGAAATATCAATTCGGGTTTTTAACTGATAATTATTTGGCTGTGTCGCTACCAAGTCAGCTGATGACGGTCTAAAATGTTGAATAGTTTGATCGGGCAAGATTATCTACATTATATAAGGTCAGTAAAAGGATTTTATATATGGTAAAATTTACATTACAGAATCTTAGACACTATAAGATGTAACTGCCTAGTAACTATTAAATTTAATAGCAACTATATAGGCACTATGCAGTTATTATACATTCAGATATCTAAGTTTCTACATAATAAAGCACCAAAGAATCATCTCAAACCTGAACAGCCAATGTGCTTGCATCATCCACGTTGTTCACTTCCGCTTCAACGTTAATTGTGAGAGGAAATTGGGACTGAAAATCTTTCGGAGGCGCTGGAGCAGGATTGGAAATTGGTCGTATTATCGTAGCCTCAGAACATTTAACTGCATTATTGAGACCAATTTCTAAAATATTGAAGTCCTAAATAGTAGCATTGAAAATTTGATAAGACAAACATCTCGATTTATTTAAATTCTGGCCCATAATAAATTACGCTACCAAAATGTAATCAAATAAAGATATCATATTAGTGATCGTAGGTTCCATCGTGACTTGTGTGAGTTTTTTTTGGATATGAGACATTTCATCTATCAAAGGTTCATGCCCTTCGAATTGTCTAAAGATCCAAAGAATATTGATAATTAAACATTTAAGACAT